CCTCCATTAGAACGCACTTTTTCTGTTGATCCGGCAAATCCTAGCGCTGCCGATGTAAAGTGGTCATGCTCGAGTCTGGTTTTGCTGCTGGCTCTCCTTGCGCTCTCTTGCTCCGCAGCGTTTCTCTCCGATTTCTCGGAAATCCTCGATCGCACACTTATCCTCGCTTCTCGGTATAGCAAACAAATCTCAAGCCTTCCGATGCTTGAGTTAACTCGATGCACTGAAGCTTTGCAAACTTTTGCTGCGCTAATGGTACTAAGAGAACTTATGCAAATCTTTATAGAATCTTTATAGAATCTTTATAGAATTTTTTTTCCACAATGGAGAATCATGAGGCGATGAGTGCAAGTAGTTTCTTCTTATGATTTGTTGATTCTGTCCTCTCTGCCGTGCTTTGAGTGTCTGTGGAGGGCTGTCACTCTGACGAGAGCTCGTTTGTGCGCGCGTTGTAAGGCAGCTCGGGCTTCTGCCAGATCTCAACCTATCATTGATCGAACTTCAGTGGAATTGGATTGAGGGCATAGCGGGTGATACAGAAAGCACCAAAGATTCAGACGTAAATTTGCTCACACATCAGATCGGATCCGTTCGTCTTATAAATAACCAATAGTTTCACCTAATGAGTTTTGGATGTTTGTTCAGGAATCAAATTAATCCCACACATTCGTCATTCCAAGGAAGAAAAAACAAAATATTTTGAACGCGAAAAGAATGTATTAGAAAGAGACGAACCAGCATTCACAAGTTTAAAATATGTAATTTGCATTTACAAAATTTTAGTTCTATTAACTTGACCGCTATTTTAATTTTTTTAAAAAGAAGTTTCTAATAGTCATTGCAAAAGGTATTTTGATTGATGCTTGAGCCACCTATATCCCTTTCTAGCATATTTTTGATTGAAGACTGCCTTTTTGAGCTTTTTTGATGACCTACGAAAAATAGGTTAGAGCTGATCACAATTCCTTGTGCATCTGAATTTGCACTCTGAGTTTTTTCCTAAAGTACATGCCCTTTTTTTCATTTCATGACGGCTATATGGTCTTAAAGTTGAACTTTCGATGAGCGAATTATCCGCGATGTGGATAACTCATTGGAATCGGAATTTAGAACCAATAGATCACAACTTTATCACAAGTTTCATAGTTCTCAAGAAGCAAGAACTCTCCGCCTGGAAAGTGCCCTGAATT